GGTATTTTTTTTAGCTGGGGACCCCAGCGCGCTTGCAACCAGGAAAGGGTCAAAAATTCAACCGTCGGTTTGCGCGGCCCGCGGTGCGAGCACCGATCCTTCTCTTTGGTGCAATCGAAGGGCGCGGCCTCGGGCAGCTGTTCCCCAGCGCTGGGCACCTCTTAGCATAATTTTCTCAGTTGCTCCTCTGTCCTTAGACAGACCTGTCCCTAAGACCACTCTGCCAAAGACGGAGACGCAACTGTGAGATGATTAGTAGACGTATACAGATATTGAGCTTTTTTAGCGTGAAAGTCCCCTCTTTGGAACGATTTTCACAGTGTTTACTCGTTCCCCCAACAGAACGAGATGTGACACAAGGTCGTTTTAATGTGGGGACCCAAGCGCGTACACTAGGGCAAGGACAAAATTCCCCACAGTCCCTGCAACTGTCGGTTGCGCTGGCCTCGTGCGAGCACCGATCCCTTCCTCTTATGCAATGTGAAGGCGCGGCGAGCACCGATCCCTCCATCTTATGCAATGGGAGGCGCAGCCTCGGGCAGCTGTTCCTCGGGGCTGAGCACCTCTCAGTATAATTTTCTCAGTTGCCTCTGTCCTCCTGTGCCCCTGAGCGCACTCTTCCCAAAGACAGTGACACAACTGAGAGATGATAAGCCTGCTCTGCAGGAGGGATGTTCACGCTAAAAGCTCAATATCTGTATTATATATTATCTACTTCTAGGCACTATCACTCTTCAGGTTTAACTAATTTGAATATTCATTTAAAAAGAAGTTTATTTCGTTAATTCATTGTCCTTCATTATTGTTCTTTTATTTGAGGATTGTTTTGATTGTCACATCAAAAATAGTTGTTTAGCAATATCGTCTTATATATTGCAGAAAAGCGTTTGAAACTTGCATTTTACTTGGCGTTCAACAAGTTGGCATCTATTTGTAAAACTTTCCTTAACTATAACAAGAAAGTTTCTGAATAAAATGTCCATTTAGAATTTTTTTTCAAAGATTTCAAGAAGTGAATATATCTTATTTAGCCTAGAGATAAGCAAGCGGGCGAAGCCTGCTAATTTGTAATAAACCAGCGTAAAGCCAAAGCTCCTGAAATAAAATAATGGCTCATCTAAGAAATTATAAGTAATAATCAGATGTCTGAATAATTCATTGGCTTGATTCTACACCAAAAGGAACGGATATTAGTCTATATTAATCAGAGAATTTCATAGAAATCGTAAATGTTCAAAAAAGAAACCATTGGCTATTGGGTTTAAGTTTATAAATGCTGTGATCAGATTTTCTTTTTTATTTTCAATTTTATCACTATAGATTAAGCACACGAAAAACATTATATTTTTAGAGGTTAACAGGTTTTCAGTTTTCTATGTAAATTAATTGTAAATTGTACGTAAAACAAAATAAAATATGCACTTTCCATGTGAATTAATTTAAAAATAAGATTCGTTATTCGTGAAGACGAGATGACTTTTTACATATATTTCTATCGATTAAGCAATCTTGATCGCCAGAATCATGCTTATTATAAAAACCCAGGTTGTGTGTGTGTGTGTGTGTGTGTGTTATATATACTGGATCGGATTTCCTAAGCATTTTTCAACCGATTTCAACAAAAACTTCACAGGACTACGTAAAATTACATTGCAGTGGTTCTGACAGCGCCCCAAATTGAAAAAAAAACAATTGTTTTTGCACGAAATCAATTTGAAAACACGATTAAGTCGCCAGAATGAAAGGGGGGACAACTCATATCGAGTTGTAATTATTATAAAACGCAGGTTGTTTTCGTGTGTCTGTGTTCGTTTATATATGCGATCTGATTTTCTACATTTTTTCAAACGATTTCAACAAAACTTCACTTTTTTTTTGTCAGGTAGTGTTTTATTGTCTTGCACACTTTTTTCTTTATTTTTACATTCAGAATGCTTTAAAAAAAATCCATTTACAAGACAATTGTTTATAATAAAATTCTATTCAATCGGTAGACTCATAACGATTGAAAACAATGTTTTTGTTTGAGTTTGGGTTTGACCAATTCGTAAAAAAAAAAAAAACTAATTAAGACATGCGTGTCCGTCAACCTTAAACAATAATCTTTGTCAATTTTATTTTTCAGTCTTTATGATGGTCGATACTTGATCTACCTCTTATTGTTACATCCCCGGGCAACGACGGGCTCTACTGCTAGTACGAAATAAAAAAAATAAAAATCTGTCTATATTTCTTAGATGAGGTATTGTAATTATTTACATTATTTACATTGTTCGGACTGCTGTCCTCATCTTTATTCGCATATTCACGATGTTTCGGCCGTTGTACGCTTTGGCTTCCTTCAGATGTTCGGAATTTCAACCAAACTCTTTATTTTGTCTACCGTAGTATATGGTTCTAGTTCCACGTCATGCCTCTTCCGGATGTTTCAGTTATTTCCCCTTAACTCAACTCTCCAAGTTTTGATTCACCACTGCTGTAGCCTGGTATTGAACTCACAACTCTTTGGGTCTAGTCACTAGATCTAACCAACGCCTTTATCTACTGAAGATGAGGCTGACAGTCCGAATAATGTAAATAATATGAGTAATCATAATACCTCATCGCAGAGATATAGACAGATATAGATCCGATATGATTAGTAAGTCTCTCACAAACCATAGGCAGAAAATGTAGTGTTCTCATGTCGAAGACGAATACCATACCTGGGATTTACTGATGTAATGCAACAACCAATCACCCCAATGAAAGATTGCACTATAGGTAGTAAGTACCTATAAAGTCAACTGTCTACGAGAGACTGGAGAAAGGGTGAGAGCGAGAAGACGCAAGTATGTCCGACCTTCCAATTAGTGGCACTCACTACTAGATTGACCTGTGTGTATAACTGTAACGTATTTCATATTGTACTTGTTATTGTACAATAAACCTTTCTTCTATTATCCAATTTGAGGGATTAAGTATTTGTTCCCTTAGCACGGAATATAACAAAACACTGACTAGTTGAGAGCAATTGGCAAAATAATGGAGTCCATAAAATGTTATATAATGGTTCAGTTACTGTTTACTCAAAATAAACTTCATTCATGAATGATTTTAATATATAAGGCCATATACTTTGTGCTGCAAAAATACATCATGGAATTTCCATGGCTTCTGCCAATCTGCGTAAAATTCTTCCAAATGTCAATTACAGAACTGTGCTTGTCATATTTATTGAATAGAAACGCTTTTATCTCAAACGGCAGATATTGCCCAAAGATGTCAAAATGACCTGACCTCAAATATTTGATGTTGAATTTTTGATTCGTACTGCATCAGGCAAGACAAGAGGATTTGGAGAAATGCCCCAAAATCATTGACCAAATATTGGAAAAATTCCAAATTCCTTTCGCCGCTAGGACCAAAATCAATGCCGTCCCCAATGGTTTCCAGGAAGGATTTTTTTTCTGCATGGCCTTACGGAATATAAATTTGAGATATGCACAACATTTTCGGTAGTATAACCAAGAGCGCTTGATTATATCCTTGAAGGGTAAGTCGCTACTACATGGAGATTGCCATGAATAAATTTGGTTGATGTTTCCACTGGAAGAAGCCATTACTTGTTTAAAATTTCCGAGTAGTGAACATGCGAGCAGAAGCCCCGAAACTGAAACTGCCTCGATAATATTATTTTCTTTCGGAAATAAAACATCACGCAGAGTTATATATGTAAAAGTAAACATTGAAGTCAACACTCAAAGAATGAAAACGCAATCAGAATGTTTTTTCACTACGAGCCAGTAAACTGGTTTAACGGTTATTTTAACGGGGTGGTTTATTTATTTATTTGAAAATTTTACTTGTAATTTTATTATTTTAATTTTATATATTTTTATTTATTCACGTTTTTGAGTAACAAAATTTTGGCCACATTTAGCGTTTGTTTTTTAAGGTAATTATAGCTTATTTTTGAATATTTATTTTTATTCTTAATTTGTTTATTTATTTTGATTGACGATTTTTATTTTTTTGAATATTTTTTTTATTTATTTTAATTTATATATTTTTTTACTTTTTCTTATTTTTTTAATTTATATATTTTTCGATTTTTTAAGTAACGTAGTAAAAATTTTTTAGATGAGTTCTGATCATTTATTTAGTGGTTCGTTTTGATCTAGGTAGATAATTATAGTTATTTTTCGTCCAATTTTTTGGATTGATTGTTGTAGTGTATTCTAACAGTTATTTTGGTGGGAGAAGTTTGTTAATTTGTTTATTGTTTGCTTGGATTAATTTATTTTACTTGTTTTTGTTCTTATTTATTTTATTTTTTATTTACTTTTATTTATTGACAACGGACCTGGTGAAATTTGAATTTGTTGTAACCACTTGAATATAATATATATATATATATATATATATATACGTATGTTTTAAAAATCAAGTCTATGTTCACCATAAAATCCATGATGTGATGTATAAACACATATTCCTTTGAAAAGCTGGTCCAATAAATATTTTTTGCAGCATATCTGTATTGCAGAAAAAACATCGCTCTGAGAATTTCGGCTTCATTTTCGATCTTTTCTCTAAAAATAGTAATGAAAATTAATTTAAATTTAAATAAGTTTAAATATTTAAAAATAATATATTTAAAAGCAAACCAGCAAAAATTCAGTAAAAATTTAAAAATATGAATCCATGCAAGTGAAGAGAGAGATAAAATATATATATATATATGTGTGTAATGTATATATATATATATATATATATATATATATATATATATATATATATATATATATATATATATGTGTGTGTGTGTGTTTTTTATATATAGCATTTATATATTATATATGCGCGAACTTATTGGGAAGCGCTCAATATCAGAGTTAATATATTTCGTTGGAATGATGTGAGTTTGTGACACTGAGTCAGAAACATCATCAATCCAACTATATATATATATATATATATATATATATATATATATATATATATATATATATATATACAGAAAGAAAGAGAGAGAGAGAGAGAGAGAGAGAGAGAGAGAGAGAGAGAGAGGACAGAGGGACAGAGACAGAAAGAGACAGGCAGAAACAGAGAGAGAAATAGAAAGAGAGGAGTGAGACACAGAAATGTAGGACAAATAAATTAACACCCCATGATGACTGGCAGATTACATTCTCAGATCACCTCTATTTTTAAAAAAGTGTAAAACACACACACACACATATATATATATATATGTGTGTGTGTGTGTTCGAATTCCAGTCGAATCTATTACATTCACTTACGTGCTAATATCCTTGGGAAAGGCATGACTCTTCTTCTCCTCCCCCCACCAACTATGGGCAAATAGAAGGACTGACCAGGTTCTATAGCCTTGGATTTCAACTGGTCTACCGCAGAAAGAAATGGCAACGTACTTCGGGAAAAAATCTGCCTCGTCAATCATGTAGCGAAAGATAGACGATCGCCTAAGCGTGCATCACGCATGGCACATAACTGACTGAACGGACCCTATACATGAATTATTGACATTGTTCCTTCTTTTGAACCAGAGGTCAGTTTGTGACTGGGCTTGAAATTATAATTCTTTGAACTGGAAGCCGTCAGCAATGACCTTAGTAATAGGAGGCAAAATTAGAAATCAATATTGTGCCTCAATTAGGAATAAATTTAAAGGAATGTACATTTGCATTTCGAATTAATTCTCTTTGCAACAAGAAAATTCGAGAAGATTTCTGCCCTCGAAACTAATATCAACCGAGTGATGTCAGTGATGGCAAATGATTCCCTTTACAATAATCATACGTATTGAACAAGGTACACATTTTCTGAAGAGAATTATGTTTTGTTTTGTTTTTGAAATACTCGCTAGAATTCTTTCACAGAATGTCCCGACCATATTCCGATTTGAAGGAATCATTCGACACGGAGACACAAAGTCTGACTTTTGAAAATGAAAGGAAATTGTAGATATCTTGAATGCGATTTCCTGTAGTGAAGTCTGTTCGTGATTCAAAATAATATTTCACTTTTGATTATGCCTTCTGTCACCGTTGATTTCTTACATCCCAAGAACGTATCGAGAAAAAAATCTACACAGCCAATAATATATATATAGGCAAGAAAAAAACAAATAAAAAAACAAAAAAGGAAAAACACAATAATTTGGTATCAAGAATGTATCTTCACAACAGAATTTTCCAACTTGGAAAGAGTGAGGCAATTCTGAGAAAATTGGAAATCTTCACATATGGTACGCAGATAGCACACTGTTTCTAGCAGAAACAGAAATTAAACTACAAGAACTCCTACAAAATGTAGTGAACGAAAGCGTGAAGAAAGGACGACCTATCAGTTACAATAAGAGAGACTATATGGTTGTCAGCAGAAGGAGGAGCACAACAGGCAAATTACAAATTGGAGATACAAAAATCAAAAACAAGTACAACAATTTAAATATCTGAGAAGTGTTTTAACAGGGAAAGTGTGTAACTGAAATCTGAATGGGAGAAATTATGACTTCCAGAAGCTAAGCAGAGTATTAAGAGACACAAAAAACACATCGTTAGAAACAAAGAAAAGAGTACTGAAATGTTACGTAATATCAGTCCTTTTATATAGCAGTGAATGCTGGGCATCACCCAGATGATGAAGAGACTCGAAGCAACAGAAATGTCGTTCTACAGAAGAATGCTGAGGATACTATTGACTGAACATGATAGCAACCACGAACTTTTAGAGAAAATGGTGGGGTGAACACCAGAAAGATGCAGTTTGTGTTTTTACGGAACATAGTGAGGAAAGAAGGCTTGGAAAATTTGATACTCATAGGGCGCATTGAAGAAGAAAGGGACAGAGGAAAACAACGCAGAGAGATTTTGTTAATGGATGACAGGTTTAAGATAAAATTTATTAAGAGCTACAGAAGGCAGAGAATTGTGAAGAGCCAGGATCACCCATGTCCTGAAGGGACACGGCACATAAAAGAATAAACATTTGGACCGCTTCTTGTGTAGTTATATTTGGGATTGTACAAACGATGGTTGTCATATCTCAAACAGTAAGATGCTGTCACGGTAAGACTGGCTTTTTGAAGAAGAAGGTATATCGGTTTATATCTTGACGATACATCTTCATTTACGACTAATCCTAATGACTAGAGAATGACAATCTGGGTAACAGCGATAAAGAGCAATTGACTTTATGATAAGAGTGTGACGCTAAATAGAGCACTCACCTAGAAAGGATGGCAGATCATTTTATCTCGGTCATAATTGTTGCGTGTGAGGTCTTCTGGACGGACCACATTCTTATTCTTTGCGCCGTGTCTACTCAAGACATGAACAACCATGTCTCTCCACAACATCCCATTCGTTATATCTCTGACTAAGCTCTGTCTTTTCTTTATCACACTCAATTCTTGTTCTGTTATCCATTTACCCACGTAAGTTACTCGTTACTTTTCCCTGTCCTTCCTACCATCAATATCTTCTCTGAGTTGCCTAGGCAACGGTGGGGTAACGTATAGCGACTCGGATTGAGGAATCAGAGAGCCGAGTTCGAATTCCAGTCGAATCCATTACATTCACTTACGTGCTAATACCCTTCTTCCACCCCGCTACAACTATGTGTAAATACTGAGAGATCGGGTTCTATAGCTTTGGATGATCTATCCCAGAAAGAAATGATAACCCACTAAGAGATATATGATCGCCTATCACATAACTGACTGACTGATATATAAATATATATAACGAATGGCACATAACTGACTGAGTGCCAGATTTCTCATAAACTTTTGCCGGAATTATTTCATTTATCAATTTTTATTGGACCTGATATGATGGCGTGTACAGTTAATATTTTACCATTAATCCCATCATTTAGAGACGGGCATTTTTTATGTTAAAAATTGGCCAACAAAGGGAAGTAACTAAGTTTGCAATAAACAATAAAAAGTAAAAGAAAAGAACCAGGCAAAAAATAATTTTGAGCAAATAATATATGCAAGTCAAAGCATAGTAATAAGGTAAAATGTATAGTAACTATGAATTGGCGTTGACACATAAAATGGATACAGGCGAGCGATCCCAGCGTTCTGACTTCAAGATAAGGATAAACAAAATTAAGTCTGATGAGACTGAGAAGTGACCAATCATATTGGTTACGAAGACATCTCAGTAGGCATCTGTGTTTTGCCTACAACTTTTGGGAAGGGGAAGTCTTTTGCAAACTTAATATTAATATTAATTGGGACCAACAAAGTCATAATGTATTGAGGATACCTATGTCGACACTATATAATGAACAGTATGAGGATTATATATATATATATATATATATATATATATATATATATATATATATATATATATATATATATATATATATAAATAATATAAATATAAATAAAGGGCTCAAACACTAATATGCTATGGTTATAATTTAATCACGATCCAATTTATCAGACCTACAAATTCAAAAAGAAAAAAAAAAGGATGGTGGGAAATTTGTAGGTCTGATGAATTGGATTGTGAATACGATTCCATTGTAATAAATTATAACCATGGAATATTAGGGTTTGAGACTTTTATATTATATTCTTACTCTGTCCTGACATTGAGCTCTACCTGGATTCTATTCTCTTGTATATATATATATATATATATATATATATATATATATATATATATATATATATAGTTTATGCAAGTCTGATGATCCAGAACCCTGTTAAAGGGGTTATGGTGAAATAGCTTATTACATGGAATCTTAACGTGGTCTGTCTTTTTTATTCCAAAATATATATATATATTGATCCCCATTATCAATACATATATACATGTGTATATATATATATATGTGTATATATATATATATGTATATATATATATATATATATATATATATATATATATATATATATATATACAGGGTGTAACATCAAAATTCTCCAAATTGTATAACAGCATGGGATAATCCATCCCACAAAATGTTTAATATCTAAAAACGAAACTACTAAACTAACTGAGTTTCTTTTTTCCAGGTTTACAGATAAGACGTTTAGCCATCTTGACACAATTTTTCGTAAGAATACCTGAAAAACGTAGCTAGAAAGAAAACGCTTCTTGTCAGCCCCACTATATCTTCTCAGCTGAGTGATGCTGAGAGGAAAAAGATCATTCACACCTTTAGTAATGGAACCAAAATTAATTCTCTAGTTTCCATATTCAAAGTACATTCAAGAACCATCAAGAGAGCGATGAATAATTTTTAAAAAAAAGAGGAAACATTAGAAAAGAAAACTGGATCAAGAAGTAACAACAGCGAGAGGCATCATCGTTTCAACTTTGCAATAAGAATGTATTTAACTCTAAATACATTCTTATTGCTCAAAGTAGAATGTAATAGTGTTATAATAACCTCGGAGAATTCCAGTAAGATATCTTTAATCATTTCTAAGATGAACAAGCCGACTGAGAGTGTTGGCTCCCTTATCCTTCGTTAAACAGGAAGAAAACTAGTCTAATCATGACAACCAGTTCTTTTTCTGTCCATGCTTCACTTCGTCAGAGTGAGGGGAGAGGTAACCTAGGGGAAAAAAATTCCTTCACTTTGGACATTTTATGCACAGGCATTGCTGGATACCGTAATATCTTTCTTTTTTGCGTGCCGATTTGCTAGCCGTGTCCGAAAAAGGTAATCGTAACTAAGAAAGGCTTGTGCCAGATGCTTTGGGTTTGCAAGAACCATTGTTGTTTATAGTACAACTTAGTTTAAGAACGATAACTTGTTATGATCATCTAGACAACAAGCTGGCAGATATCATACATATATTTCCTTATTACTGTTCCCTGTTGTTAATGGTTTAGAAATATTTACTGCCCCAACGACTTAAACATCTAATATTGCGTATCTTTGATTTAATCTCAGGAAACATGATGACGCATACACACTTGTGAAAAATTAAATGAAACAACTGCTTTAGTTTCCTTTCTTTCACTATGCGGTCATTTGTAAACCCACAGGAGTGACAGGTTGTAATTGATTACTATTTTTCTTCGGATTAGGTCATTTCCAGTGGTGTGCAGTAATATGAATCTATTTTCGGGGTGTATGATGAAATTTGTTTGGAATTGAAAAATATCGCGTCATCCGA